GTGGTCCACCTCCCCCCTCCCCAAAGTCATCTTCTTGCCTTTCAGCCAGCATAAAAGGTAAAGGTAAAGGGGACCCCTGACCATTAGGTCCAGTCTTGGCCGACTCTGGGGTTGCGGCGCTCATCTTGGTTACTGGCCGAGGGAGCTGGCGTACAGCTTCCGGGTCATGTGGCCAGCATGACTAAGCCGCTTCTGGCGAACTAGAGCAGCACACAGAAACGCCGTTTACCTTCCCGTTTACCTATTTATCTACTTGCACTTTGACGTGCTTTCGAACTGCTAGGTTGGCAGGAGCAGGGACCGAGCAACGGGAGCTCACCCCGTCGCAGGGATTCGAACCGCCGACCTTCTGATCGGCAAGTCCTAGGCTCTGTGGTTTAACCCACAGCGCCACCCACATCCCTTCAGCCAGCATGGTATGGTCTAAATGCAGCCCTGTCTAAAACTGAGCAAAGGTGCATCGGGGAGCCCAAACCTAAGCACGTGTTTTTGGAAGTTCAATGCAAGTTGCTTCCAGCTCTGGATTGCTCCGTACTCTTTTCCACCTGAACTCAAACCTCTGCCCAATGCAACTGGTTGAATCCCAGTGGACTGGGGTGTCATACTCTCCAACATTTCTCTGATAAAAATAGGGATGCCCTATTCCTCCTCCTCCTCCTCCTCCTCCTCTTCCTCCTTCTTCTTTACTCCCCGCCCATATGACTGGGTTGCCCCAGCCACTCTGGGCAGCTCCCAGCATATATAAAAATATAATAAAACATTAAACACTAGAAAACTTCTCTATACAGTGCTGCCTTCAGATATCTTCTAAAAGATGTATGGTTACTTATCTCCTTGGTTCGGGGGTCACATATCTCCATGCCCTCCAACATTTATCCACTGAAAATAGGGAGAGCCTAAGGAAAGGTGGGACATTCTGGGATCAAATCAGAAACTGGGGTGGCTTCTGTAAATTCTGGACTGTCCTTGGAAAATAGGGACATTTGGAGGGTCTGGGTGTGTTGCTAGAGACATAACTTCAGTTTGTTTAAAAAAGCAAGGCACTAACTGAACACTGAAGTAAACAAGATAACAAGAGTGTTTGGAAAGCATGCTATGACGAAAGGCTGAAGACTGTGTGCTAAAAGATTAGGGCAGAAATAATGGTTTTCCAAAAAGAAAAACCACCCTCGCCAAGGGTCCCCTTTGCTAAGAAAAAGAGCAGATGTTTATCAGAGCTTTTTAAAGGCCCTCTGTACCCTATGATTAAGTCACACTAGTTTTAACTCGGTTCTTTGTTTTGTGTCCTTTTAGCATCTCTTTAGCCTTATCTTTGAGATGATCTTTTTAAATGCAGGCTGTGATTTGTGGGTTCTCTTATCCTTGAAGATGTACCACTGAACGAAAGTCGTGCCAGAGCTTTGGTTGGAGGAAAGAGCTGGTCTCTACTGAATGTTTCCCATAAAAAATTTAGGCGGTCTATTACTATTTCTTTCACTCAGAATCCCTGCAGTTGGGTAGGCTACCTCCTGCTCAGAGTAGACACAACATGTGGTATTGCAGTAAAGCCAGCAAGGAGAAGGAGCAGTAATACTTAATTCTGGACTTAATTCTGCTCCTAATGGGACAATTCCTTCTGGAAATAAACAAAAGCTTGCCTGCAGCTGTTTCTGAAGATGGGCCTTGTATGCCGGTGAGAAAAACAAATGAAGAGATAGTTCATCTTCAGGAAAAAAGTCCCACCCAACATATTTTAAACTTATTTTCCATACCAGAGCAATCTTGGCAAGTTTCCTCGAGCCTCAACTTTGGCTTCATTCTGGTTTTGCTCAGAAAAAGTCCAGAAGACACCGTCTCTTAAATAACTTGTTTCTTCTTTCATTGCTTTAGCCTACAGAGCAGGAACTTTGCCACTTCAGAATTTGTTGCTAGAGACATCTTTCTTGGCTGGGCTTCAGATTTTTTTCGGACACATGCTGCAAATCACTTTATACGTACTGTATTAAAAACAAAACCAGCAAGTCCTGTGACTCCACTAATATGCTTAGTTACACCTGAATGCTCTAGTTGGCCCGTCATATAATTTTTTTTAACATAATTTTTATTAACAGGCCAATCAAATCACATTATTTCCAAATCACATTAATTCCAAATTATACAGCCAGATTTTTAAATTTTGTTGGGGGTACCCATACTTCAAGCTCCGAACGGGGGTCCAAGCATCACTTCTATTGCTGCTTTAATTTGGCAGTTCTATCCAGTTCTGTCCAGATAGTCTCTTTATTACTTTCTTCATCTTCTTGTTGATATCATATATTCCTTTCTTTGCGATCTCTGATAATCTTCACAAGCGGGTTGGAAACAAACATCCTCTGTGTGGGTTTTACACTCTCATCTTATCACATAAGGCCCATCATATAATTGTGGTACTCAGTAGTTGAAAGTGTGGGCTTCTACCCTATCAGTCCATGACTGTAGATGGACATTCTAATCCTCATTACCAATTTTGAACAAAGTACAAAACTGTGATCTTCTGAATCTGTGAACATGTCCTCACCTTTCTTCCTGACCTATGCAAGTTAGTCTTAAAAATAAGGTATCCTCCATGCACCCTCATAGGGTTTTGTTTCCGCTTTTTAAATGGAAATAATTTCTTCCATAGCTTCAGGTGGATGCATGCATCCACAAAAGAACTGGGAACAATAACAACTTACAACCCAGAAAGTTGTCACTTGCAACTGTCAACTCTGTGCCTGCGTCACATTGTGCTTATGTATTTTTGTTTCTACATATTCCCAAGGAAGCTACTGCAACAATGCTGTGATCATTAAATTTCTTCTCTGCATCTCTGACTGAGCAAACTGAGCAAAAAAAAAACCCCTCTGCCCTAGCAGCTGTAGGGGAACATTGGTTTTAATTTGCTTAAAACTCATTTCCCCTTCAATAGATGGCCTTAGCATCTTATGAGCTAATTTTAAATCACAGAAATGCAAACTGTAGAGGAGACATTGAATGGCTCATGCTGGGCAGCTTCTACATGCCTGGACCAAATGTAGAAATGCCCTTATACTGAGCAGAAGAACTGCAGCAACCATGTTTCCTGAAAGAACCAAAGATTTGCGTGAAGTTCTCCTTGTTACAGTGCAACCAACTAAAGAGAGGCAAACTTTACAAGCTTAAGAATTCTTCTCTCCCTTGGATTAAAATCTGAGCCGGAGAAGAATTGGTGGATCAGATCTCTCCTCTTGGAGCTATGTCCGGGTGAGGGGTGAGCACATCTCCTGCAAAACACTCCTGGGAGTGGGAGGCTCTCCAGCATATCCACTTTTTGAGCTCAGTTAGTTTGGAGGTGAGGGGGAAATGAGCTCCCACCGGTCTGGCAATTTCTCAAGCTGCTCTTTTAGTTTGTACAGGGGCAGATAAAAAGGCTTCTATCCTCGGAGAGTCTTATTCCTGATAGTTTCCAAATTAATCTTTTGAAAGCTCACCCAGCTCTGTCAAGAACACTTGCAGTTATAGTTGTTTGTTACGTATTTCATTATTAGTGTTTGTGCTGTTATGGGTGCAATTGTACAAAAGCATACCTGCAAATAAAGGAAGCTGGGTTACATGGGGCTGAATTCCCAGGATTGGGCTGCATATCATAGAATAATAATAATATTATTATAATTTATTATTTATACCCCACCCATCTGGCTGAGTTTCCCCAGTCACTCTGGGCAGCTCCCAATTGAGTGTTAGAAACAATACAGCATTAAATATTAAAAACTTCCCTAAACAGGGCTGCCTTCAGATGTCTTTTAAAAATAGGATAGCTACTTATTTCCTTGACATCTGATGGGAGGGCGTCCCACAGGGCAGGCGCCACTACCAAGAAGGCCCTCTGTCTGGTTCCCTGTAACCTCACTTCTCGCAATGAGGGAACCACCAGAAGGCCCTCGGCACTGGATCTCAGTGTCCGGGCTGAACGATGGGGGTGGAGATGCTCATACAACTGTAGAGTTGGAAGGCAGCACAACGGTCATCTAGTCTAACCCGCTACAATGCAGGAATCTTTTGCCCAACATGGGGCTCAAACCAATGACCCTGAAACTAAGAGTGTCATGCTCCACCAACTGAGCTAACCTATATAATTAAAGACTTGTTAGTTTCGCAAAGTATATTCCAATCCTTACCCATTAATCCTTGCGTAAAGCTGTGGAATTGAGACTTGGGTTGCAATACTAGGTACGTTTACCTGGCACAAAATCCCTTTGAATTCAGTGCAACTTCCTTGCATAGGATAGGGCTGCATGGTTGCCCAATTCTGCTCCTGCCCCTGAATTGAATCAGATTTACTTCTGCGTTAGAATTCATACATGCTAACCCATGCATACAAGGGACGCAGGTGGCATTGTGGGTTAAACCACAGAGCCTAGGACTTGCTGATCAAAAAGTTGGCGGCTCGAATCGCCGCGACGGGGTGAGCTCCCGTTGCTCGGTCCCTGCTCCTGCCAACCTAGCAGTTCAAAAGCATGTCAAAGTGCAAGTAGATAAATAGGTACCACTCTGGCGGGAAGGTAAACAGTGTTTCCATGCGCTGCTCTGGTTTGTCAGAAGCAGCTTAGTCATGCTGGCCACATGACCCGGAAGCTGTACACTGACTCCCTCGGCCAATAAGCGAGATGAGCGCCGCAATCCCAAAGTCAGCCATGACTGGACCTAATGGTCAGGGGTCCCTTTACCTTTACCTTTACCTAGCATGCATACAATTCTAGCTGCATCACTGAATAAAGTGCATAGGGTTTTGTTTGTTTGTTTTGAACACCACAGGCGCCGTTGTAACTTCTGTTAAGGAAGGTACAGATGCCTTTGTAGATGTAAGAAGAATTTTTATCTGCTAAACAACCTGCTACACCCAAATGCCACCTAGTGAGCTCACAGCTGAGGTGCACTCTGTGAACTAGGAGCTTCCTTCCTTACAGTTCACACCCTGAGCTACTGTACTGAAATCGTCTCTCCCTGCTTTTTCTCCTTGCTAGGTCGTGACATGGCAAGCACAACCTTGCCCGGCTACCCACCCCATGTTCCACCAACCGGACAGGGCAGCTACCCAACCTCAACTCTTGCAGGAATGGTGCCTGGTAAGTTCTTCTTCCTTTGACACATTTGTAACTGTTTCAGTTTGGATTAGATAGAAGAACAGTCTATTGCTTTTATTTTCAAATTTGTCATATTTGGGTAAGGTGCTTGAGGGTTTGTTCGTCAACCAGCTCAGAGTTTTCTTGGATGATACTGAAAACAGTTGGGAAATTTCGATTGGTAGAAAATATGGCAGCTGCTGCAAATGTTCTGAGTGGAGCCAGTAAATCAAATCATTATGTCTCCAACCTTTTCAGGCTCCATTCAACATTTTTGGCCTCTAAATGGCCTGAGACCAGAATATCTCAGGAACCGCATCCTGCCCCAAATGAGTCTGCTACGCTAAGACACTTTTCTCTCTGCTCTTGGATGTATAACAGATGGGCACAAAAATTTGGGCCTTTTCAGTGATGGTACCCAAAAAGGGACGCGGGTGGCGCTGTGGGTAAAGCCTCAGTGCCTAGGACTTGCTGATCGCTTGGTCGGCGGTTCGAATCCCCGCGGCGGGGTGCGCTCCCGTCGTTCGGTCCCAGCGCCTGCCAACCTAGCAGTTCGAAAGCACGTCAGAGTGCAAGTAGATAAATAGGGACCGCTTACCAGCGGGAAGGTAAACGGCGTTCCATGTGCTGCGCTGGCTCGCCAGATGCAGCTTGTCACGCTGGACACGTGACCTGGAAGTGTCTGCGGACAGTGCTGGCTCCCGGCCTATAGAGTGAGATGAGCGCACAACCCTAGAGTCTGGGAAGACTGGCCCGTACGGGCAGGGGTACCTTTACCTTTACCCAAAATTTGGAACAGCCTTCCAAGAGAGGTCTGCTTGGCCCTATCAATTATATTCTGGTGGGCAGCCAAGTTAGATCTGTCTCTTAGTGATTTTGACTTTTGTTTTCAGGAGTGGCAGTCCTTGAAGTATTGGGGTCCTGGGCTGCCTCAGCATTATAGGTCAAAACCAGCACTTGAATTGGGCCAGGAACTAATTAGTAGGGTGGTGCTGTGGGTTAAACCACAGAACCTAGAATTTGCCGATCAGAAGGTTGGTGGTTCGAATCCCTGTGATGGGGTGAGCTCCCGTTGCTCGGTCCCTGCTCCTGCCAACCTAGCAGTTCAAAAGCACGTCAAAGTGCAAGTAGATAAATAGGTACCACTCTGGTGGGAAGGTAAACGGCGTTTCTGTGCGCTGCTCTGGTTCGCCAGAAGCGGCTAAGTCATGTTGGCCATATGACCCGGAAGCTGTACGCCAGCTCCCTCGGCCAATAAAGCGAGATGAGCGCCGCAACCCCAGAGTCAGTCACGACTGGACCCTAACGGTCAGGGGTCCCTTTACCTTATAGTCAGGCCAGCATTGGTTTCATGTGCTCAGACAGTCTAGACTCAGTCAGCAACCTGGCCATTGCATTCTGCACCAACAGTAATTCTGTATGAGAACTACTTTTTATCTAATCACCTGATGGGTCTCAGTGTGAGCCTAAGGCATACAGAGAGCTTGCACATTTTATCGCAAATAATCAGCATACCTTGCATCTCCTTTCAGTGAACTGAAGTTCATGAAGTTCAGAGTTCATGAACTTATTTTTTAAAAGGCCAGCTCCCCTTTTTGCATTCGCAGGGAACAAAACTGCAACACGGAAAGGATTAATATGTGTGCCAGTTAGACGTATAGCTGTGTGCACACACTTCCAGACACTATTGCATTGCTGGCCAAGCTAGATTGCTACTAATAGCTCAGAATAGTTGGCTGATGGGAGCTAATGATTGGTAGGTAGGTGGCAATCTCAGTGTGCTTGAACAGGATAATGGCCTCCTCTCCACCCCGCAAACTAAAGGGAGGAGACTGGGGTACGAATACATCTGATGCCTAAGTGTTGGCTGAAGGAACTTTGAAGGTTCAGGGCTTTCTCTGGGGAACTGGTATTGGGTAGTAGATCTGCTGCTCATCGGAGTGCTTGCTGCTGTTTCCCTCCAGTGTGTGTGTGTGTGTGTGTGTGTGTGTGTGTAAGCTCTCTCACCCAAAGGAAACCACATCTGTAGAGTGATAGAGTGATGCCCTGGAACATCCCACTGTATAGGGAAGTGGGGAACACGCAACAAAACAGAGACGCATCCTGGCATTATTGCTGGCAGGAGAGCATCTTGTGGGAATGCACATGGATCAAAACTGAAACAGCTTGGAAATACTGAGGAGCTGCCAGTCCTGAATACGAAACCTACGTGTTTTGCATTAAGCATTCACGTTGGCTTGAACAAAGTGAGGATTTAAATCATGGGAAAGCAGCAAACCATCAACAGGTTGGATGGCAACTTGTCTAGATGCTGATTATTATTATTACTGAAAGAGATTCTTAAGGTACCTGTGAAGGAGAGAAGTCTTTTAAATAATAATAATTTATTATTTATACCCCACCCATCTGGCTGGGTTTCCCCAGCCACTCTGGGCGGCTCCCAACAGAATATTAAAAACACGAGAAAACATCAAACATTAAAAACTTCCCTAAACAGGGTTGCCTTCAGGTGTCCTCTAAAAGTCAGATACTGTAGTTGTTTATTTCCTTGACATCTGATGGGAGGGCAGGCACCACTACTGAGAAGGACCTCTGCCTGGTTCCCTGCAATGTCACTTCTCGCAGGGAGGGAACCACCAGAAGGCCCTTGGTGCTGGACCTCAGCTGAATGGTGGGGGTGGAGATGCTTCTTCAGGTATACAGGACCGAGGTCATTTAGGACTTTAAAAGTCAGCACCAACATTTTGACTTGTGCTCGGAAACATACTGGAAGCCAATGTTATATGGTCTCGGCGGCCACTCTCAGTCACCAGTCTATCTACTGCATTCTAGATTAATTGTAGTTTCCGGGTCACATTCAAAGGTAGCCCCACATAGAGCGCATTGCAGTAGTCCAAGCGGGAGATAACTAGAGCATGAACCACTCTGACGAGACAGTAGGGGTATTAAATTTTGAGGAGATACTTAGGGAAAGTCCTTCCTTCTGAATTACTGGCACCTGGATGGCACTCCCCGTCTCCAGGAGATAAATTTCTATTTCTGACATTTACCCTCAGTTGCTATCGCTGTCCTAGAGATATTATGTAAGCCTGTTTCTGGAGCTAGGAAAAGCCTGGCTCCCCAGTTCCACCCTGAGGAACGGGGACACCACCAGTGAACCACATTGACCAGCAAAGTCCTATGAGGCTAGGTAAAGGTAAAGGGACCCCTGACCATTAGGTCCAGTCGTGACCGACTCTGGGGTTGCGGCGCTCATCTCGCTTTATTGGCCGAGGGAGCTGGCGTACAGCTTCCAGGTCATGTGGCCAGCATGACTAAGCCGCTTCTGGCAAACCAGAGCAGCGCACGGAAACGCCGTTTACCTTCCTACCGGAGCGATACCTATTTATCTACTTGCACTTTGACGTGCTTTCGAACTGCTAGGTTGGCAGGAGCTGGGACCGAGCAACGGGAGCTCACCCCGTCACGGGGATTCGAACCGCCAACCTTCTGATCAGCAAGTCCTAGGCTCTGTGGTTTAACCCACAGCACCACCCACGTCCCACTATGAGGCTAGTGAAAGGGAATTTCTGCTGCCTGAAAATGGAATAGGAAGATGCTTTAGACTGAGTCTCAGACTCATAGTATTGTAGGAAGCGACCCTGAGGATCATCTGATCAGACCATTGAACCATCTAGCTCAATTAATTGTCTGGCAGCAGGTCTCCTGGATTTCAGAGACACTTGTCTAGCTGGAGATGCTGAGGTTTTAAGCAAGGAACTTCTGCATGCAAAATAGATGGTGCTCTGCCACTTGAATTACAGCCCTTCCTGACGATCTGGGGTGGTGGTTACTCAGGGCAGGCCTGTAATGTCCAGGGACCCTTTTGCTCCGTGGACTTTGTTATTCCCCAAAACCTGGCCTCCGCTTGCCTTTTGACTCCTTGGCAACGTTTACAGAACATCCCAGGCTTTGGCAGAAAAGCTTTGGGACCAGCCGAGAGAGCAGGTCACAGCCAGGGTCTGCTGTAAAGGGAGCAGTTAAACAGAATCCAGTGCTGATGAGGAAATTACATGTGTTTCATTAGTGATCGGGGAAGGAGATAGCTCAGTTCCTCTTGGTCACAGTTGAGCTCAAAAGCTCATTATCCTGCAGCACGTTTCCTTTCACTCCTCGTCAATAAACACCTTTCACACTCGCTGCTTCTCCCTCCCTGGATCCCCTTGACTGCTCTGGAGAGAGAGAAAGAGAGAGAGAGAGGCTCTTTCTCCTCTACTTAACCTGCACTTCAGATTCACTGTAAACAGTTTAGGGTGACAATACAGATGGGAGAAGGGGGAGAAGCTGAGACTTCTTTTTACAGACACAGATAGGGCTTTGTGAAGAAACTCGTCTCTGACTTGGACAAGTCCCTGCACATGCTTTCCTTACAGGAGCGGGGGAAGAAATTCTGCACAATTTTCATTCTTTTGCAAAGCCACCCAATTTGCGCTCCCTGAAACGATGCGTAAGCTGAAACACAAAATTTGCACATTCGAAATTTGCACTTCTACGAATTTTGTGATGCAATTATCCAACAGGAAAAAAATGTACCGTATTTTTCCCTCTATTAAGACGCACCAGACCACAAGACGCACCTAGTTTTTGGAGGAGGAAAACAAGAAAAAAAATATTCTGAATCTCAGAAGCCGGAACAGCAAGAGGAATCGCTGCGCAGTGAAATCAGCAATCCCTCTTGCTGTTCTGGCTTCTGGGATAGCTGCGCAGCCTGCATTTGCTCCATAAGACGCACACACATTTCCCCTTACTTTTTAGGAGGGAAAAAGTGAGTCTTATAGAGCAAAAAATATGGTATATTAGAATCATAGAAATGTAGACTTGGCTGGGACCCAGAGCGTCATGTAACCAACCCCCTAGAGGAGAGTGGGCAAAAAAAAAATGCACGTATTAGTGTAAACAATATACAAAATGCATAAATTTAGGGGGAACTGTTTGCATAAATGTGTCTACAAGGAGAAATGTGCACTGTGAAATGCTGGTTTTGAAACGACGACGACACTCCACAAACAAATTCAGAAATGTGGTGAATAGTACTTAAGACTGGAAAAATGAGAGAAATCAAAACTAATGAATTTATCCATTCCTAGGTGAGATTGAGCTTTCCTAGAAAATACAACATACTTTATATATTAAGAACACCTTGAGGTTGTATGAGCAGCATTCTACTCACACAGAAGGACTGCCCCTTCTTCGTCTCTCTCCACGGACCCCAAAATCTGCTCCAGAGGGTTCTCCCAACCGCTTGGAGCAGATTTTGAGGGTGTGCTGGTGGCCGCAGGGGGAGAGGAAAGCAGGGAGACGTCCCCTTGGACAAGTGGAAGGGCAGCTTTGCACCCACCCCTTTGAAACCACCCCTTCCCGCCAGCTCACAATTTGCGTCCGTAGGTTAGGCAGACCAAATCCTCCGAAACAGCACGTCAGAAATAGAAGACGTTTAACACCTGCATTGCGTTAGTCCGCACAGGCAAAGCCGAAATCATGGTATGAAATCCCAGTACGTTTCCGAGCACAATTCAAAGTGTTGGTGCTGACCTTTAAAGCCCTAAACGGCCTCGGTCCAGTATATCTGAAGGAGCGTCTCCACCCCCATTGTTCTGCCTGGACACTGAGGTCCAGCGCCAAAGGCCTTCTGGCGGTTCCCTCACTGCGAGAAGCCAAGTTACAGGGAACCAGGCAGAGGGCCTTCTCGGTAGTGGCGCCCGCCCTGTGGAACGCCCTCCCACCAGATGTCAAAGAGAAGAACTGCCAGACTTTTAGAAGACATCTGAAGGCAGCCCTGTTTAGGGAAGCTTTTAGTGTTTGATGTATTGCAGTATTTTAATATTTTTTGGGAAGCCGCCCAGAGTGGCTGGGGAAGCCCAGCCAGATGGGCGGGGTATAAATAATAAATTATTATTATGGTGAAAGTGGGGAGATGGAGAAAGCACAAGGAAACAAGGGTAACAAGGAGAAAACTCACAAGTGTGGCTTCACGCTCCCCCTCTCCCTTGTTAGGCATTTGTCACAATTTTGCTCCCCCACCTTCAGTGTGAAACATACTTAATGAATGACTCACCCTTCCTTTGCTCTTTCCTAGGGAGTGAATTCTCAGGAAATCCTTACAGCCACCCTCAGTACACAACCTACAACGAGGCCTGGAGGTTCAGCAACCCTGCGTTACTAAGTGAGTATCTCTCTTGCACCCCCTTCCATCTCTTGCTCTCTCCTTCTGTTTGTCTCCTTGTTTTCTTTTCCTTATTTGTTTCTATTTCACCAGGGGGCCGGGGGGGCAGGGAGGGTACATTCCCACCTCCAAATGACTCCATCATTTAGCCCATCAGCTCAGTTCATTGTTCCTGGCAGTTAATAATTTGAGGAGGACATGATCATTTATACAAATGAGGTGCCTTTAGTTATTTCCCTAGCTCCACACCCCTGCCCATGTCTCTATTTTGCAAGGCTATTTATTTATTTATTTATTTGAACAAGGTACAGTGGTGCCCCGCAAGACGAATGCCTTGCAAGACGAAAAACGCGCAAGACGAAAGGGTTTTCCATTTTTTCAGTCGTTCCGCAAGACGAATTTCCCTATGGGCTTGATTCGCAAGACGGAACGTCTTGCGAGTTCTTGCGAGTTTGTTTCCTTTTTCTTAAAGCCGCTAAGCCGTTAATAGCCGCTAATAGCCGTGCTTTGCAAGACAAAAAAACCGCAAGACGAAGAGACTCGCGGAACGGATTAATTTCGTCTTGCGAGGCACCACTGTATGTACATTGCTTAACACCAGAGTTTCTAAGCAGCGAACGGTAAGGTTATAAAGAACATACCGTTGGCAATATCAATTAACAGAAAACCCTATAAGACAATGTGCAGTGTTTGACAGTATGGAAAAGAAATGGGACACAATGGCTTTAAAAGCTTTAGTAACTTAGTAATAAGGTAAAGGGACCCCTGACATTAGGGTCCAATCACGGACAACTCTGGGGTTGCGGTGCTCATCTTGCTTTACTGGCCGAGGGAGCCGGTGTACAGCTTCCGGGTCATGTGGCCAGCATGACTAAGCCGCTTCTGGCAAACCAGAGCAGCGCACGGAAACGCCGTTTACTTTTCCACCAGAGCAGTACCTATTTATCTACTTGCACTTTGACGTGCTTCCCGAACTGCTAGGTTGGCAGGAGCAGGGACCGAGCAACGGGAGCTTACCCCATAGCGGGGATTTGAACGGCAAGCCCTAGGCTCTATGGTTTAGACCAGTGTTCCCCAACCTTGGGCCTCCAGCTGTTTTTGGACTACAATTCCCATCATCCTTGACCACTGGTCTTGATAGCGAGGGATGATGGGAGTTGTAGTCCAAAAACAGCTGGAGGCCCAAGGTTGGGGAACACTGGTTTAGACCATAGCGCCACCCGTGTCCCTCAACTTAGTAATAGTCATAGTTTATTCCAGGGATCGTTAATATCTCACTATTACTAAGTTAGCAAAGCTTTTCAAAACCTGGAAATGGCAGGTAGTGGTGTTCAGACAGCCACATACCTCAGTTTTTACAGGACCAAACTAGCTAGAAACAGATTGTAGTCCTGTAGAGTGTACTAATTCTGGAACTGTTTCTGGTAAACTGGTTCTGTAGGGTTTTGTAGCATTTCAGAAACCTGCAGAACCTAACTGACCAGAAAACAACAGAGATAACAACAGAAAAGAATGTGTGCAGCACTCATGCAACTTTCAGTTTTCCTAACAGCTATGTCTCCAGCTTGCCCCCCCGCCCCATTTTATGAAAGGCATGTGAAAAAAGAGGCTATGGAAACTCCTGTTGCAAAAGTTTGCCAATTTGACAGGACAGGGTGCGGCCTTCTGGACCACCATGATAACATACCCTCCAACATTTCTCCAATGAAAATAGGGACGTCCTATTCAAATACAGTGGTGCCTCGCAAGACGAAATTAATTCGTTCCGCAAGTTTTTTCTTCTTGCGAGTTTTTCGTCTTGCGAAGCACGGTTTCCCATAGGAATGCATTGAAAATCAATCAATGCGTTCCTATGGAAACCGCCTTCAGACCAGGTCCGGGGACAGTATGTCCCCCGACCTCTTCTGAAGGCTGGGGGGGGACAAGGGCTTTTCTTCCCACCACCAGCCTTCAGAAGGCTGTTCTGAAGGCTGGCGGTGGGAAGAAAAGCCCTTCTCCCCACCTCCCGCCCCGCAAGCTCCTGGGACAGGAGGGCTTTGCTGCCGCCCGCCAGCATTTTAAGATCGCCCGGGACAGCGGAGAAGTCTCCTCTGTCCCGGGAAGGCAGGCGGGGGGGGAGCAAATACTTTTGCCCCCCGCCGGCCTTCAGAAGAGGTCCAGGACCTCTTCTGAAGGCCGGCGGTGGGCAAAGTCTTTGCTCCCGACGGCCAGCATTTTAAAAGCGGTCCGGGATAGCGGGAAAGCGCAGCGCAATACCCTGCTATCCCGGACCGCTTTTAAAATGCTGGCGGTGGGGAGCAAAGCCTTTCGGCCCCCGCCGGCCTTCCTGGACCTCTTCTGAAGGCCGGAGGGGGGGCGAAAGGCTTTGCTCCCCACCGCCAGCATTTAAAAGAGGTCCCCGGAGATTTCCCTATGGGCTTTCTTCTTGCAAAGCAAGCCCATAGGGAAATTTGTCTTGCGGAACGACTCAAAAACGGAAAACTCTTTCATCTTGCGAGTTTTTCGTTTTGCGAGGCGTTCGTCTTGCAAGGCATCACTGTAATAATAGTAGTAGTAGTACATCACCCATCTGACTGGGTTTCCCCAGCCACACTGGGTGGCTTCAAACATCTACAAAAACATAATAAAACATTAAACATTAAAAAACTTCCCTATATAGGGGTGCCTTCATTTGTCCAAGGTTGTACACTTACTTATTTCCTTGGCTCGGGGGGTTGCATAACTCTATACCCTCCAACATGTCTCCGATGAAAATAGGGGCATTATAAGGAAAAATGGGACATTCTGAAATCAAATCAGAAAGTGGAACAACTTCTGTAAATCCGGGACTGTCCCTGGAAATTAGGAACACTTGGAGGGTCTGTTATGTTAGAAGATAGGATGAGTAGCTCCAGACTCCAGCATCACTGCAATTTACTTAGGCAGGGCAAGTCTAGCCCTCCTACAGACTGCTACTGGAAGACTCAGGAGTCAGACCAGATGAGGATTAGTTAGCCCTAGACCCAAGATGACCTGCAACATTCCCTCTCAGTACATCATGCTCTCTGGGCATTTTAGAGAAGCATTCATGTGCAGGCAAAATAAATATTATTGAGTCCCTCCTGTGTAAGCACAGAACCCCAGAGGGTTTTATCCCACCCACTTTCCCACGTGAGCTCCCCTGTGTACTCGCAGCGAATGCCAAAGTATCCCCATCTCTGCGTGCCTGAGATGAAGGCCTCACAGCTATTTACAGAGCCATTTATCCTAATATGAAACAGATTTGAGACAAGAGTCTTTAATTCTCACGGGGCTCTTTTCATTAGCTTCCATCTCTTTTCTGCATCTGATTAGCCCCTTGATCATGTAAACGCATCAGAAATAGAAGTGCGTTAAAAGCAGTTGTTTACTGACTGTGTGAAGAAACTCAAAGACAGGGATATCTTCCACCTGCGAAGGTATTTCTCCAAAAAGCCACGGGTGTCATACCTAGTTTATTTGGCTGTTACCCTTTCCTTTCTCTGGTCCTACACGCACCACCCTAAGAATCTGACCAGTTCCTCTGCACACATCGTAAGAACATAAGAACAGTCCCGCTGCATCAGAGCAAAGGCATATCTAGTCCTGCTTCCTTCATGGGCAACTTAAGGCAGAAGGAATAGAAGCAATTCCATACTTTTGCTGGTTCAGACCCTTCCTACACCTTCCCCTTTCTGACGCGGGTGGCGCTGTGGGTTAAACCACAGAGCCTAGGACTTGCCGATCAGAAGGTCAGCGGTTCGAATCCCCGCGACGGGGTGAGCTCCATTGCTCAATCCCTGCTCCTGCCAACCTAGCAGTTCGAAAGCACCTCAAAGTGCAAGTAGATAAATAGGTACCGCTCCGGCGGGAAGGTAAACAGCGTTTCCGTGCACTGCTCTGGTTCGCCAAAAGCGGCTTAGTCATGCTGGCCACATGACCCAGAAAGCTGTCTGCGGACTAACGCCGGCTCCCTTGGCCTATAGAGCGAGATGAGCACGCAACCCCAGAGTCGGTCACGACTGGACCTAATGGTCAGGGGTCCCCTTTACCTTTACACCTTCCCCTCTAGTCCCTTAAAATTGACTGCTTAAGCAAGACGCTGCGCTCCACTTAAGCAAGACGCTGCGCTCCACTTCTCAGTACTTGTAATACAAAACTGGCAGGTGCAGACATGTCCTATACATAGAAACATAGAATTCTAGAGTTGGGTGGGGTCCCAGGGGTCATCTAGTCCAACCCCCTGCTTCTGCCCACAGCCATCCCTGGGTGGGCTTGAGCTACCAGCCTGGCTAACAGCCAGACACACTGATCCATTGCACCACATGCTTCAGGTTTGTGCTCTTCTGGTTTTGTTGTTGCAAAAATCGGCCTTGCCCTTAGCGGCAGCCAAAAGCCCTTTTGTAAAATATGTCACACTTTTTTAACAACTCCCCCTTTGTCCATCAGTTTAATCGCTGTCTGCTTTGCAGCTTTGTTTTAAAGGCCCACCCCTTTTCCTCCCCTGATTTTCAACACCCCTGAATATTTAACACGATACAAAGAAGGCTATCTACCCATTTCTTTAATTTAAAAAACCAGATCAGTACTTCCCCCCACTGGAGTGGACCAGGAAACCCAGGTACAGTGGTACCTCGGGTTACATACGCTTCGGGTTACATACGCTTCAGGTTACAGACTCTGCTAACCCATAAATAGTGCTTCAGGTTAAGAACTTTGCCTCAGGATGAGAACAGAAATCGTGCTCCAGCGGCGCGGCGGCAACAGGAGGCCCCATTGGCTAAAGTGGTGCTTCAGGTTAAGAACAGTTTCAGGTTAAGAACGGACCTCCGGAATGAATTAAGTATTTACCCTAACCCAAGGTACCACTGTATTTTGGAAGCTTAGAGCTCTTAGGTATCATCAACAGGCTCACAAAGCAAGCAAGGTTTTCAGCAGCATAACATTCCTTACAAAACATTCTGAATTGTAATTGTGGTGGAGCAGCAGAGAGGGTTCCAAATCTGACATTTAGCATCCGTGAGGTGCTTTTGGGGAAATATTCCTATGAATGCAGGCAAGTGGCAATTGCTACACGAGGATTCTATATTGTGGGGCCCAATAAATAAATATTGTGGGGCCCAATATTTTGCCCCACCTAATCAATCACAAGACGCATACCATTTGAATGGCAATGTCCATCAACTTGGACAGACCCCCTCAAATATTTTACTGGGAGGCCAAAGGGACCTCGGCCTCTGGGAGTTGGCTCCTATGAATCTAGGTTATCCTCCTGAACAGCGTCTAACTGGAATCCAGAATGCAGCTGCTGCACCAGAACTCTTTCTGTGTGACTAGCACTATGTACCGTATTTTTTGCTCTATAAGACTCACTTTTCCCCTCCTAAAAAGTAAGGGGAAATGTGTGTGCGTCTTATGTAGTGAATGCAGGCTGCACAGCTATCACAGAAACCAGAACAGCAAGAGGGATTGCTGCTTTCACTGCACAGCGATCCCTCTTGCTGTTCTGGCTTCTGAGATTCAGAATATTTTTTTTCTTGTTTTCCTCCTCCAAAAACTAGGTGCATCTTGTGGTCTGGTGCGTCTTATAGAGCGAAAAATATGGTAATTTAGCAAATGCAGGTTCCCTGTTTTTTATATTGGCCACTAATGAGTCCCCATCCTCGGGTTTCTGTCTCTAGTTCCTTTTAATATGCCTCTCTCTTTCGCTCTCTCTCTCTTTCTCTTCCTTTCTTTTCTTATTTTATTTTACTGTATGTCCTTTCAATCAGTCCATTCTTCTCCTGTGTTAACTTTCAGGTTCCCCTTATTATTATAGTGCCACATCCCGGGGCTCCGCACCTCCCACTGCTGCCGCTGCCTATGACCGCCACTAGTTACCATGGAAACCACATGAAACTGCAGGGTGACAGCCTAGGCCTCCATATTGTACCTGTCTGATGAACATTCTGCGCCGCTCGGAAGGATGAAGAAAACTTTCTCCGTGTCCCTTGCCTGCCCCTTCTGCCCCCTCCGCCCTCTTTCAGACTGCAGAAACGTACTGGAATACCGCACATTTTTGAGAACTTCATGCCCCTTGTAACCCAACCAAGCTACTTCACTGGATTGATGGCAAAAGCAGGCCTGCGGCCAGCGCTCCTGCTCCTGTTGCTATTGCCACTGCAGTACTTCAGACCACCCCACGCAAATTGTTCCTCGGCTCTCTAGCCTTCCATGAGAGGCTTCCCAAACCTCTTAAGCCTGAGGGGAATCTGAGCAATATATAGCCTGCACTGTCGTCTTTTGGGAGTGGTATGGACAGAAGGTAACAAAGGAGAGAATGCTGCGTACCAACTCATTGTTCTCCCCCAAGAGATCGTCTGTGAAAAACATCTCCGCATGATAAGCGACGGTTTCCGGAAGCCAGAGGGGACCAACTCTGGCTCGGTCTAGCAAAGGGGGAAAAGACCTGTGTCATCCTCTCTGTGTGTCCGACAAGGGTTGTTTTGTGTGACCCGTTTCCCTCCCATTTCCTCCATAGGTTGGTTGAATAAGGCCTTGGTTTCCTTACCGTTCCATCCGAAGAACGACCGCATCCGATGTCATAACCTTACGGGCTGGAGTTGGGACGGCAAGTCTCTCACACACACACACACACCTACAGTCAAGTCAGACAGGAGGATGGAGCGATGTCAACCCGCTGGCAAAATGAAGAACTATATAAATAGATATATAAATATAACTGTTTTTAATGCTTTGTCCTGAAGGTCTGTAAAAAAACAAAAACAAAAAAAGGAGGGGAGGGAAATGAACAAATCCCCCCCGTTTTCTAAAAATCAAAAAGTCCTGGCAAAAACAAGCTGAAATAGCTCCCCAGCCTGAACGGCAGACATGAAGAATAGTTCTCCCTTTCCATTCCTAGGTTTCATTCTTTTTCTGTTACACGCCGGGGTTGTTACACGCATGGCGGCGAGGAGTGCAAGTGTATTCTGTGGGGGAACTTGTTCACCTAATACACAACTCCAGCAAGATTTATGAAGGAAAAAGCTTAAATCCCCCAGCGACTGGTGTGCCACATTTCATTAATCACTGCTGAAGGGGTAGAAACATTTCGGGCATGTGACACTGGACAAAAACAATTCCAGACTAACTGGGAATGTTTTCTGGTTCTCTGTCCTTCCATTTCTGCTATACCAATATGGACTAGAGGTCTGGGGTAAGGGGGGGGGGTGTATCTTCTCTTCATGGAGCTGTGGTACTCTGAAATAGTGGCATACAGCAAAAAGCAGGTGTTTTATCCTTGAACCTCAAGCTTGTTTTAACTGAGTCTTACATCAGTCAGCACAGCAACTTCCCTGTTCCTGGGGCTGTTCATTTCCTTGTTTCTGCATGCCTAAAAACTGAGCAGAATTTGGATTTCTAAGAAGTTCACTCTTTTTTTTTTTTAAGGCTAATTTCCTGTCTTTGCGGACCCATAGATGAAAACACGCAGTTACCGTTCTATAAAAGGTTGCTGCAGCAGAGAGGTGGGATCCTGCATCACTCTCCATCCTCTTATCTTGGCATCCGCTTTAAGTTCCGTAAGCAGCGCTCGTCTCCTCTTGCGACCACACCATGAAATATCCTATGGTTAAAAAAATCCCAAATTATGCAAACTCTCAAAATGCCAGGATCAAAATAAACGTGCAGATTGGAGCCATTTCATGCAGAAAGGCACGTCTGCATTAACTGATGGTTTACAGACATTGTTTTTGCATGTGGAATTTGCAGCAGGGTTAGATGTTGCATCGAAGGGTGACATTTAAGCAGAAGATGGCAGAACAAAATTTGCTCACATTTTATATTTCATAAATCTGGTGTGCGGTGAGCAGTTATCAACAGGGAAAAGGGAAAGCATTCATGGGGCGAACACAACATCCTCCTCCAGTTTACATCTCCAGAAGGCAGAGTGCGGACCAAATTTCAAACTAGTGTAAAGCAGGTGGTTTTTAGCCCTGTTTTCTTTTTCTTTTTCCAAATTGCCATATCCAAGGGGAAATAAGAGATCTCTGTATTTGGGGCAATACTTTATGAACCCCTTCTATAGGGATCAACAAAGCATGTTGATCGCCAAGAATTCCAATGGCGCCTTTCCATTTTTCTCTGTAAGCTGCTTGCCCCAGGTGAATTGACCAACTCTCTTTTAATTCACCTATATTTGTCTGAGATGATTCAAACAATTGTTTGCTTGTCACAGACACTCACAAGAACAAGCTTTTATGTTCCAGGCCGACAGAAGTTACCTATATCCACATCTGTGCTATATACTGTATGCCATTAACACCCCCAAATTATAAGGTTGTAGCAGGAAATCATTCTGTAAATATACCTGCTTTTTTATCTCATCCAGTGCACACAAAGAAATATTGGGCAAACAGAAACTGTTTCAGTGCTTCCTCAAACCTCATCCCAAATTCAGCTTTATCCAGCTCTAGGGTCCCTACATCGCTCAACAGTTTAAACACTTAAACACACACACACACACACACCCCAATTGCTCATGCCTGTATTTATGACTCTGTTTGGGGAACGGCACATGTAAGATTGCCCATTTGACTAGTGTTAAATGTACCCCCAGAATGTCTGGGAAGGAAAATAGCTAACTGGGTCAACTGAAAACTTGTTAGGTCCTTGAAGCCCCAACTTTGGCTATCCGAGAAAAGAGAGAGTATAAGAACACTGACACATCTCACCTACTTAAAATTATCTGGTTCAGGAAAACACAAATAAAGGAAGATGCAACTGAGAATAGTCTGACCTATCATTCATGGTCTTTTACTTACACTGGTAGAAAAGAAGGGGAATATGAGTCTGTCCATAACCACTGGCTTGATTTGGGGCCCGCTGACATAGATAATGTTACATTGATTTTGATTTGGCCTGGCATGATCATAAAGAGAGTAAGCAATTCTATTTGGAACGTCCTATGCAAAGGACTACTAGGCTGAGTCTTAGTCTTGCCACCTTGTCTTCTGAAGAGCCACCTGCAAATGTGTATTACATTTGCCAAAGAATTTCTTGTGTTGGCCCCTGCTGTTTTGAGTTACAGTTGGTGGGTTGCATTGTAAAGCAGTATTATAGTTAAGTTTAGTAACCGACAAGGGGGATTTACGTGATGATATTCTACGGAAGACAACCATCAATATTCATATAGATTCAACTGGACTGGACTATGCGGGAAATGCAAAAATTATTTAATATTTTGTTATTTGCGGGGGGAAATTTGCTGCTTTGTAGGAAGATGATGTTTGTAATGTGAAGGCAATTCCTCTTGTATATAAGCCCATTCTCCCATCTTCATCATGCTAGTGATTGAAACAGGCTCACCTCATCGTGTAGATAAAAGAACGCACCGTCTGTACTGTTCGAATCGCATTGTGCTCACTGAAAACAAAGCTCTGTGTTCAATAAAGCACAGCACAAACTCGGACTCTGTGGGAACGAACAAGCCTGACAAGGCCTTTTCCCTGGCAACCTCCAGCAGCCCCCCCCCCAAAAAAAGTGGTTTACTTTACCACTACTCTCTTTTTTAATAAAATAAAAAAACCTAAACAAAAAAATTGAAAAGGCAGGGAAAGAAAAACACACAAAAAAAATTGAATGGGGGAAAATAATCTCTATGCAAAAGAAAAAAAATGAAAAAAAAATGTTAGCATCTTTTGCATTTCTGCCCATGTGTCCTGATTCCTCTACTTTTGCTGCCATGGTATATTTCTCCATTGCTCTCCCTATGGTTTTGCTCCCCTTCCACAGAGGGCTGTCTGATGGCCAACGCAAATAGGTGAATTGAAGACTTTGGAGGGGTTTTTCCCCCTTGGGACCTTATTTGGGCATGCTGTGCCACCTTGTGCTTTCTGTTTCCCCAGCTGTACAATAGGAATAAAAAGAAAACACCCTAACCTGGTGGGGTGTTGTGATTCTTTGCTTGCTAGTATCGCCTGAGTATTTGGACACCTTTGGAGAGAAATCTCGGGGGATGTTTCGGGTTGGCAACCAATATTACCCTCTGTTATCTCCCTCTCGTCCGTCTTGTCATGTTGTTCTTTCATTTAACTGGCCTCTTCAGCTGCATCTCCTCCCTAAATTCATCCCAGGTAGACAAAGGAACAACCTTGACCGCATCTACTTTTCTGTGTTGGGGGAAAGGATCCCAGAAGCTCTTGCCACTGACATAGTCCACAGGGAATATGAACCACAGCCGCCTTTACGACAGCCAGGAATGGCTCAGCCGCAAAACGGGGGAAGTGGGAGGGCGGGGGGAGTTTACAGAATGGTAGGGATGGGAGGAGCAAGACATTTTCTGTTGCGACAGACACCTTGGGTGACCTGTAAGTGTTCTTTAAAAGAATAGTGTCTTTAGTGGCGATGAGCCCTCGTGCAGAGACAGGGCTGTTGCATGTTTTCTCACCCATGGATAGTGACAATTAAAATACAGAGGAAAAGATTCTGAACTAATCACAGACCAATGTGAAGCTATTAAACTGTCAAAAAAACAAAACAAAACAAAACAAATGACATTCTTATCTCCTCTTGAGTCTTCCTTTAAAGAAAATGTGAAGTATTTTCTCTCGCCGAACTGTCTAAAATCATTCATGGTTAAGAGCACTCACACGTGGTGGCTTGGTTTGTCTTGGGGATAAGGTAAAGGGACCCCTGACCGTTAGGTCCAGTGGCGGACAACTCTGGGGTTGCGGTGCTTATCTCGCTTTATTGGCCGAGGGAGCCGGCGTACAGCTTCCGGGTCATGTGGCCAGCATGACTAAGCTGCTTCTGGCGGACCAGAACAGCGCACGGAAACACCGTTTACCTTCCCACCGGAGTGGTACCTATTTATATACTTGTACTTGACATGCTTACAAACTGCTAGGTTGGCAGGAGCTGGGACTGAGCAACGGGAGCTCACCCCATCGCGGGGATTCGAACTGCCGACCTTCTGATCGGCAGGCCCTAGGCTCTATGGTTTAGACCACAGTGCTGGAAAGACAAATGTGAGTTACATAGCAACTTGGAACCAGTACTATATTTCTAGAAAAAGAGGTGCCGTTGTTATCTCAGAATGGCAATGGTGCCCACCTGAAAGGTGCCAGAGCTCCAGTGAGCTCCTGCTGGGGGAAAATACCTGCTTGGAACTAACCTAATTTGGATCCTACCGACACAAGTTTCTGCCCATTTTGTTTCCACACACTTTAGGGCGCAGAGTGATGAAACTAAGAAAGGAGGAGCCACAACTGCTAGGACCTTCTGTCCATGTCACCCTCCAAGCTGTTGCATCTCCAGCTGGCCATTCTTCATTTCTTTGTTTTTATTTCTTATCCGCCAAAAACCAACCAATTTCTTTTTTATGTCAGCCTGTGACATAGAGACCCATAGCTTGCTTATCTCTGTTTGCTCACTTCCTCCCAACCCGGCCTTTTATTTTTAAATTGAGGCAGCTCTGAGATATCCAAGTTAAGGGATATCCCCAACCTGGTGTCCTCTGTATGTTTTGGACTCTACAATAACCAGAAGGACCAGCCAGCACTTGGTCAGGGTAGGCTGACTTGATCCCTACCTGAACTGTAAATTGGCACAAGAGAATACAAGGGTGATAGTCAACACTAGTCTTTTCTGAGCAGTGCTATTTTTCCAGAAAAGGAGGTTGCCGGAACTCACCATGAACGCCTCTCTTGTTCTCTTATAATGGCAATGGTGCCTACCTGAGAGGTGCTGGAACTGAGTTCCGGCTGGGGGGAAAGCCCTTACTCTGAGTAGACCCACTGAAGTTAATGGATATGACTAGCTTGGGTTCATTAATTTTAAAGGGTCTATTCTGAGTTGAAAACAAACCATAGTTTTAACCACAAATTTGAGTGGGTGGGCAGCCCAACTCTAGAAGGTCTAAACGGTAATATATATATATTTACGGCAGTGCTATTTGTGCTATTTTAGATGCTTTGTGAAAGTTTCAAAGGCGAGAGGACTGGAATATTGGTGGACCAAAGGCAGGGCTGTGAAGAAAAGGAGGGAGTCTAAAGTTTGTATAGTGACTTACCCTCTTGGCTTGGGGGTTGCACAACTCCACACCCTCCAACAGTTATCTGGTGAAAATAGGGACATCCTAAGAAAAACTGGGACTTTCCAGGATCAAATCAGAAACCGGGATGGCTTCTGTAAATCTGGGACTGTCCCTGGAAAATAGGGAGACTTGGAGGGTCCGCAGCTCTGTCGTGCAAATGCAACAAAAAGGCCTTTGTTGCCACTATTCCTGCCACAGTACAGACCTGGAAATGAGCTCCATGCCGCGTTTAGGAAAATTAAGCCCAGAGTTTCTGCCCCTTGCTTTGCACTCATCTTGGCTCAACACCCTAGCCATCATTAACCAGGAAGCAAGCCTCTGAAAGGTAGTGGAAAAGTTCATATATAGAGGCAACCTTGCTAATCAGTATCTCATTCTAGAGATCACCTAGGCTGGGGGGCAAGCAGTGCAGTGCTCTGCAAATGTTGTTGGCGTGCCATTGCCAACAGCCTCTGCCACCATGGCCAGGGGGCAAGGAATGGGCATTGTAGCCCAACAACAACTAGAGCAGTGTTTCTCAACCTTGGGTCCCCAGATGATGTTGGACTACAACTCCCATCATCCCTGAGCTCTGGCCTTGCTAGCTAGGGATGATGGGAGTTGTAGGCCAAAAACATCTGGGGACCCAAAGTTGAGAAAGGCTGATCTAGAGGGTCCACATTGACTTCCTCTCTCCAAAGCCACCAACAAAGCAAAGGATAAAGGTAAAGGTAAAGAGACCCCTGACCATTAGGTCTAGTCATGGCCGACTCTAGGGTTGCGGAGCTCATCTCGCTTTATTGGCCAAGGGAGCCGGCGTACAGCTTTTGGGTCATGTGGCCAGCATGACTAAGCTGCTTCTGGCGAACCAGAGCAGCGCACGGAAACGCCGTTTACCTTCCCACCGGAGCGGTACCTATTTATCTACTTGCCCTTTGACGTGTTTTCGAACTGCTAGGTTGGCAGGAGCAGGGACCAAGCAACAGGAGCTCACCCCGTCGCAGGGATTCGAACCGCCGACCTTCTGATTGGCTAGCCCTAGGCTCTGTGGTTTAACCCACAGTGCCACCCGCATCCCTCAAAAGCAAAGGATACTAATGGCCAAATCTGGAAAACTGTTGGGTCTAGGATTCTCTACGATCACATTAGCATTCCAGCCCCCATGGAGGCTATAAGCTACAATGGGTCACATTTGTAAAGAACCAGTCTGATATAGGGTCACCCAGATGCAAATCCCTGACAGGGGAGAAAACTAGGCTTTATTTCACCCGGGTCAAAGACCCAGTTTCACACACACACCATACACACATTTGCATACACACAGGCAGAGAGCTTCAATGGTGCCCCTCTGGAGGCAAGAAACCTGGGTAGCCCCTCTGTACCTATGGCCCTGATCCCTTGGTAGCCATTAAACTCACCTGGTGAATGACTGTCTAATGCAATTGGAGTGTAGTGAGGAAACAGAGGCTACCCTGCATTCATTTCAGAAACTGTGGTGCAAAAATGTAATTAAGAAATTTAGACGGTAATGGCACTCCACCATAGCTATCAAAGATGTTACCACCACATCTAAAGCTCTCCATGTGAAGTACTGGATACAGATAAAATTAATTTTTGCATTCCTTCCCTCACAAACTAACAGCATGATGTTGCACCCATTATTTTAAAATAGTATGAATTGCAGTTGTTGAGAATCCAATTGTTCCACTGAACAGTAGTAGATTGGAAACAAGATTCTGCATTCATTAAAATTCAATCTTGACGAGAGCCTGATCTTAACCTTTAACACTTAGAGGGGGAAAGTGTTCACACAAGCAGTAAATATTGAAACTAGAGCTGTCAAGGGCTTTGTTTGGTTTTTTGTTGATTAACCACCTCACTTTACCTTACTAATGAATTCATGAACCAAGGAAAATAAATATATATAAGTACTAAAGTCCAACCGTCCTTATTAACCAATTTAGTTAAGGCAATGCTTTCGCTTCACTATACGATATCAACAAATTCTTTCTTATTTGGGAAATTAAATGGTTTAAAATGCACTGAGCATGGAATCTACTTTGCAAAAGTTGGCATAACCCCTATTTGCTGAATCACAAGATAAGTTCCAGATGAATTTTGCCAGTAATTACAGGGATGCATTGATTAAAGCATTCAGCTCTAATTTCCATTCTCCTTTATGGGGATTTCCATCCCTTCTCTGATTAACTAAAACTGTGGCAACACTGTTAAATATCGGCTTCCATCAGCAACCTTTTGGCATAAGTTGTTAGCCTGATGTTCCAAACTGGCTGGGGAGAAAGTCCTGAATTCTCTAGGTTGTCTTGTGTACTTACAGGGCATTTTCAGGGCCACCTGTCAGTCGTCTAGAGGATGTGTATCCCCAGCCAAACAGTAAAATCTCACACAGAGGCATGGCTACAAAAGACCATGTCCTCACACTGCATGCTTCCTGAG